AGGTATTTGGCTTTGTTGCTGCGAACTAATGTACAAGAAAAAAAATAGTTTTGTTACAAAGAAAAGCATTGTAAGACACGTGTGAACCCAAGAATGACAATACTGGCTCACAGTAATACATGCAGACATGCCACACCTTCAGGATGTGGTCTCTGTTTTGTCTTCACTGCCTTGGCTGGAAGATGAACATTTAAAGAACCTGCATATGAGAGCTTTCATTATTTCAAATCTGGTCACTTGCCAAAGGGCATAGACTACCGAAGATTTCACATGTCGTTGCCTTCATTTTGCATTGCTTCAGAGGTAACTATACCTGCAGTAAACACACTTCACTGAAGTGCTGTTAGGATATAACATTTGGAAGTGCAAGGCCAAATTTAATCCCTTTGTTCGACATCATATGCAGTTTTATGAAGCAGAGATGAAACAACATTGCTTAGCTTTCGGCTCCCTTGTTCTTCATGCAATTGAGATAAGAAGTCCTGAGCCAGGAGTTCATATGTACTGTTTCCCTTAATCCAACACTGAATAGTAAAGTCGCCATAATCCCTAAGGACCAGAGGGCTCTTCTTTCATTAGAGAAATGCTTGGTTATGAGTTTAACCTGAGGGTCACCATGCAAAAGGGAGGTGCTAGGTTAAAAAGGTAGGACCTTCATGGTACCCTCAGCCAATGTGGGAATTGACTCCACACTGTTGATGTCACTCTGCTACACATCGCAGCCGTCCATGCTAACCGAACCCCCACATTTTTATGGGTCGATATAAATGATCAGTATTTGAGATGACTGCACTCCTCTTACTCTTACTTCTTGTGCACCCTCTATTTTCTTCACTCCACTAGCAGCACCTCTGTCTTCATGAGCTGAGGCCTGTCACTCTGGAATTTGCTCCTCAACCTTTGCTACTCTATCCTCTTTGAAAGCTGCCTGTTTGACCAAATATTTGATCACATGTCCTGATATCTCCTTCTATGATTCCGTATCAAATTTTGGTTTATAATTGACTCTGTGCAGTCCCGTTGAATGTGTTACCACATTAATGGAGTTTCGTGAATGGAAGTTCTTGTTATTGTGTAAGGAAGCTGGACTAGTTTTCATTCCGGAATATATGAGCTATGAAGTGAGACCGAGTCTCCCTCCATTCACTGAATGGAAATGTAAAATGGGCAAAATAACAAAAGAGAAGAAAGGAAACAAAAACTATAATCTTGCAAGTGCTGGAAATCTGAAGTTAAACAGAAAATACTGGAAAGCACTATGCAGGTCAGGGGAATCAACTATTGAGAAGGAATCACAGCTAATGTTTCAGGTTCAACATTTCACCAGAACACAAAGGAAAGTAAAAGAACACTCAACCGTGGCTGAGGTGCTAAAAACAAGTTCTACAAACTAACTGAAAAGGGCAAACGTGAAGCAAAGAAACCGAGCATAGAAAATGTGAACTATTGTATTCCACAATAGTAGGAATCAGGAGGCTGAGGTTCATATACCACCAGTCCTTTTGAAATATCACAAATGCGTTCAACATAATACAGAGTAGAGAATTCAAGATGTTCAGCTTCATGCTTTGAATTTTCACTGACATTTTTTTGCTGAGAGGAATCAACCCATGGACTGGGCACAGTACAGATGGAGACTATTTGGCCTGTCGTCATGATGCCAACTCTCTACATAAGCAGTTTAACCAGCCACACTCCCCTGCCCTTTCCTCAGAGACACGCAAATATTCACTCTTCAGATAATTATTCAATCCTCATTTGAAAGCCACAATTGAATCTGCCTTCCCCACAATCTCAGTCAGTGCATTCCACACTCTAACCACTTACCACGTAGAAATGATTGTCCTCATGTTGCCTTTAGTTCATCTGGCACTCACTTTAAATTTGTATCCTCTGGTTCTCGACCCTTCTGTCAATGGGAACAATTTCTATCCCTGTATTCTGGCTAAATCCCTCATGATTTTGAATAGCTTCTGAGCACCATTGTAATATTTTAAGTGTAGGCATTTAACTACAGTATGCAGAACCTGACGAGTCAGGTACTATTATGGTAGCACCCATCCTCCAACCTGCAGGCCATTCTAATTTCTCATTGCGTAAGCAAGACTGGTACATGTATCCCTATATGACCCACAGTGTGGAAGTATTTGTTTGGACAGGTACATGAATAGGAAAGAAGGATGTGGGCTAAATGCAGGCAAATAGTAGTAGTTTAGTTTGGGAAACCTGATCAGCATGGACATCTTGGACTGAATGGTCTGTTTCCATGCTGTATGACTCTATGACAGACAAATGTCTGTCTTGAGCTGTTGAATTAAAACAGATCTAGATACCCCCATGGGGAAATTGGTAGAAAATCTGGTGATGGTTTGTGAAGAAAATAACGTCTGCCTGTTTAAACTTTTCATCTTGCACTCATGACTATTGAATTGCAAAAGTACCAAGTTGAAGAAGGAACAACATTTATATTGTTGGGAAGACAGTAGTGATTGCTTGGCAGGTGGACTCTGGTAGGCCAGAGGCAGCGCCAGGAAAAATGCAGGGAACTGTTAACTGGTGGGTGGTGGCATAGTGGTAATGTTACTGGACTGGTAATCCCCAGCCTTATACAAAAACAGTATTTGTGGAGAGAATGCAGAGTCAACATTTCAGATCTACTGACCCTTCTTCAGAACTCCACCTAATGTTATGGGAGTATGAGTTCAAGTTTCAACATGAAAAACCTGAAACTCAAGAAAAATAACTTATTAGCAACCTATAATGATGATATAGAAGTATCTGTAGTTTGCTAATGTCCTTTAAGGCAGGTAATCTGTTGTCCTCACCTGGTCTAGCCCACATGTGTCTCCAGGCCCAAATGCAGTTGACCTTTAACTGGGCAGTTAGGAATGGCCAATAAACGCTGACCTAGGCAACAATGCCCAGATCCCACAAATGAATAAAACAGAAACTACTAAGCAAGTGGATTTTAATTGGTCAAGACATGACCTTGGGGATTTACCAGGCTTTTTTCCAGGTTTATGTTGAACTGTGAAAGACACAACGTGGAGATGTCTTCTTTCTATTTGCAAACTTATATAAGAGTATACGACCAAGCAACCAGTTGTAGCTATATGTTGCCTTTCATATCCCAAGGGTGCCTGAAAAACATTTCACAGCCAATGAGTTATGTTTTTGACGTGTCGTCTTTATTGATACGTAAACAGAATGTAATGGCCATTTCCCCTTGTGGACTTATGGTCTAGTTCTTTCCCCTTGTGGGAGAATCTAGGACCAGAGGGCATAACACCGAGTAAGGGGTTTGCCCATTTAAGACAGATAAGGGATTTTTTTTTTCTCAGAGGCATGTGAATTTGTGAAATTCTTTCCACAGAGAGTGGTTAAAGCTGGATCATTAAATATATTCAAGGTTCGGATGGACAGATTTTTAATTGGCAAAGAAATTACGGGTTATGGGGCAAAAGAAAGAAATTGGAGCTGAGAATTTTCAAATCAGCTGTTTTCTCATTAAACGATGGAGTGGACTCAGTGGCAAAGTGGTCTATTTCTGCTCTTATGCCTTATGGTCTTATGGCCAGTTGACCCATGTTTTGTTATCATTGGTCAAGGGCCAGTGCTGATTCAAGGAAATGTGCTGGCTAGGACATTGATAACACTCCCTTCTTCTTCATCCCATGGTGTCATGGGATCTTGAACATCCCACTTGACCTGGCAGATGGTTCAAGGAAAAGACGTACATGGTCCTGCGCTGCCTGACAGCATTGAATTGTTAAATGCTGGAGGATGCAGCTGGAATTGACTTTGTGTTCTACTGGCTGAGAGGTGAGAATGTTATGACTGAGCTAAGGTGATCACAGATCATGTTGCATTTCAGAGGGAGCTGGTATTTTACCTGACACCTTCATCTGGAGTTCTGTGTGTTTGCGTGCTAATTTGCGGCTAAAAGAATCAAAAATGAAGAGACGTGAGCGGATTACCAATGAGGGTAGTGTGCTTGATTTGATTATTTTTAACCTTGCCGATTGGGATAGCACAAGATTCTGGCACTCGTAGCAACACAGATAATTGTATCTTGAATTCATTCAGTTCACTGATCTCAAATGTATATTCTGAAGTCAGAACAATAATCGTTCATTTATAGCAGGTATGTACCATGTGCTGCCTGGACTTCTGTAGGAAGAGAAGCAAAACATTTGAGTCTTTCTACTGAGCTTTAGGAGATTGTAGAATTGCTCCAATCTCTCATGCATAGGGACGGTACATTTTATTTCCTCATATTACAACCAATGCCTACAACGAGATCAAGTCCTCAGGCTACAGAGCTGCATTTATATTCTAAGAGATTATTAAAACAGTAAGTCGAGTACCTGCACATAGCAAAGTGATTTCAATGTTTACCCTTTCAGCTGTGAGGGAACTGAATGGAACACTCCTCTTAAGTAAAAGAAAATTTATCAGTGAAAAATTCAAGCATTGACCTTTTAGAGCTTGGTCGATAAGGAGTCAAATGTGTGCCTTTAGTTTGATGCAAAACTGAATATTGAATAGCAAAGCACTTGACCTGCTTTCACTCACTGAACTGACTCGTTGTACTACATTTTTAAAATATGCTCCTTCTGCTCCGACTACAGAAATGAAGGCTGGAACTTGCAGCCTGTCTACAACCTGTCTACTCCATTTCAGGTCAACTCACCACATGGAAAGATTGAACTGCAGTTAACTAAGTCAGCTTCTTGTTGTAACTTGCATTTGCTGCCACCTCAACTCTATTAACATCAGTCAGAGTTGCTCATTCACTTGCCACCTGATTCCAGAGTTAAAGGAGTATTGCGCTGTAAGCGTTACCGTTTTACAAAATTACAACAGTGAGATCAATTTAATGGAAGAATAAAAGCATCAGTTTTATAGCCTGTTATTTACTGCTTCCCTTCAGTGGGGTATAGCAGAGTGGGGAGGGAAAGAAAGAAAGTAGTTATGATGTCCTTCCTTTTCTGTTGCAGGTTTTACTGACTCCTTGAATACAGGCAACAGCAGCATGAAAATAAGTTGTATGAAGAAGTTTCGAACAGAAAACAGGTAGGATTCTTGCCAGTTTGACCTGTAAACATTTACCTTTTCGAAGCTTGAATTTGACACTTGTGTAGTATGTTTCTACACCAATCAGGATATTTCTTCACCATGAACAGCTGGTAAAGTATGCGAAAGACTGTCAGTTATATAGCACTTTTCACAGCCGTTGGCCATCCCAAAGCTTTTTATAACTATAATGGTGGACTTTGTTGACTACGAGATTCCTGATTGGCCCAGGTTAAAAACCCTCTCAAGATCCTCAGAGTCAATGAGGTCCACCTACTCCCAATCACTACAACAATCAATGAAGTGGTTTGTAGTTTAGTCACTATTGATGGCGCGATCTTGTAAATAACAAGATCTCACAGCCAGCAGTGTGATAATGATGAGATAATCTTGTTCTAACTTATGAATGAAGTACACATTTTGGCCAGGACACTGTGATTGACATCACTGATCTTCTGCATAGTAGTCCCACGGCATCTTTTATGCTCACCTGCCTTAATGTCGCACCCAAATGACATCACGTCACAATAGTGCAGCACTCTCTCAGTACACTGGAGTATCAGTCTACACCTTTGTCTTTTCAACACAAAAGCTCCTAAATCACACATTACCAGCTGTGCTACCACCTGAGCCACGGTTAACACACATGAAAGCACTTTCAGCAGATCTCAATCCCATCCACACTCCATCACTCCCAGTGGGACGGGATTGGGATGGGTTCTTGACTCCAACCCAGTTCAGCCAATATCAGCAGTGAGAGAGAGATTGAACTGGTGGAGGAGGCTATCTCAGGTGAGCTGGAATATACAGGGGTCAACGTTATGCAGAAAGCTCTGTTTAGACCCCACTTGGGTCCTGTATTCAGTTCTGGGCTGAAGACAAAATTAATCTGTGAATTAATTTATGAGAAGACGTCACATAGATGAGGATTATATTTCCTTGGCTATAGATCATGTTGTGTTCGAATTGAAATGTTGACGTTAAAAAGATAATAAAAGGTAGATAGATTGGAACTATTTCAGCTCTTCCACACGCATAGTACATTTGATGTTATTGCAGTCCCACTATGACTTAGATTTTCTATTTTATCATTTCATCTTCCAGAATGGTGATTTCAATGGGTGAATTAATCATTTCTGACTGATTTCTGTCAAAAGCAGACTGCTGGATAATTAGGGTAACAGTCCATAACTACCGCATGACTTTCTTTCATTCTGAGAGGACTGAAGCAACTTATTATTATGGTCTAATGTTAACTGGACTTAGGCCTGTGTTCCTCTGGCTGATAAATGAGACTTGAATTGTCTGGAATATTTGTATCTTAAAAAAATTGGGTTTTGGCCCAACACCTAGATCTCATGGGATCTGTGTTCAATTCTCAATGCCACAACAACCCACAGGCTGCTTTTAATGCAGCATGCAAAGTAAAAAGACAACTTTTGTCCCTCTGAAAGCCAAATACTTGATCTCTCAGAGCTTCTCTCTGTAATTCTCTCCAGGCCACTGTTTCCTTGAAGGAACATAGCTCCATTTTGTAAAGTCTCTTGGACAATCTGTATATTTGCAGCCTTCTCGGCAGCTTCCTTTCTGATTTGCCCCAGTCGCTGTTCAGACACTGGGACTGATGCTCTCAAGCTGCGCACATATGCTGTTACTTCACCATCATTGGCATTCTGACAGTCTTTACCAGGGTCTCACGCCAAGCTATCAGCTGTGTGCATCCATTTTGCAAACGTGTACGTCACTTGTAATTTCTGTTTCTACAGTTCTCTACTCATCACAATCAGGGAGTAAGTTTTTTTTATTCAAACAGTAACTTACAGCCAGTTTTGATCTTGATCCATTTACATGCCAGCCTCCTGTGGTGTTGCTTAGGAATAAGTCAGAAAATATACTCAAGTATGATGCTCACAGAAGTGCATGGCACAAACGAGTTTAATATGTTACTAATGGTTGTCATGTTGCTCGCCTAACATCAAAAGGATACATTTTCTCTTTTGCTGCATTGCAACTTCTTGTTTGCTTTCCTCATCCATTTTCATGTTTTCTTCAGGTTCTCTGTTGTCCTCCCTTTTGCTATGTGTACTGATTTGTATTCTTTTAGGCTTCTCTTCTGTGTTGTACAGTTAGGAGTTTCGCATTGTTGAAAGTGCAGCACAGAAGGAGACCATTCAGCCTATTTGCACCAATTCTTCGTTAAAGCAATTGATTGCTCGTTTTTCTTCCTATGTGGGGAATATTGGAATAGGAGCTTGCTTTTTATTCTTTCATAGGATTGGAGGCATTTGCTGCCCATTCATAATTTACCTTGAACTGAGTAGAACGCTGTTCCATTTCAGAGGGTAGTGAAGAGTCACCCACATTGCTGTGGGTCTTGAGTCATATGTAGATCATACCAGGTAAGAATGGCAGATTTCCTTCCCTACAGGACATTACTGAACCAAATGGGTTTTTAAGACCATCATTTGCAGCAATATGTGTCATGTTCATCATTAAGAAATCTAGGTTTCATTACCAACTTTTATTAATTACATGTAAATTCTAGCAATTGCCGTAGTTGGATTTGAGCCCATGCCCCTAGAGCATTACTCTGGGTCTCTGAATGGAACAATACCACAATGCTCCAGATTCTCCGCAGTCACCTGTATAACTCTTTTTCTCCAATTCATTTCTTTGGGGAAAGTGACGACTTGTATGGCGGGAAGGCAGAATTCAGTCAAGCTGACCGACGTATTCTCTTTATTTGTTGAAGTGTGCAGTTAATTTGTTTAGAGATGAGGCAACTTGAATTTGTTCTGTTGGGTGATTTATTGGTGCCAATCTGTGAAGAGCATGCGTCGGGGCACAATGGCTGGCTGCACAGTGGCACAAGCTTCGAGGGGAGTATTGGCAGTGACCAGAGGACAGTGAGGTGAGGTGAAGAAGCTGGTGGAGTTAGACAGCAGGTCATGCCCGCCTTCTCAGCAACAAGGCCACGTGCCCTGTGTCCTGGTGCAAATGCAAACTGACAGGTGGCAAGAGGTGGAGGTATAAAGTTGACGGGTAAGTCGGCAGGAATGAGTAGGTACTGTGATAGTTGTGGCAGGAGATCAAAAAAGCAAACAGCTGTAAGCCTGTAAATAATCATTGCAAGGAAGAAGGCAGACACAGGGTAGTGCAATGCAAAAGTAATAAAATGAAATACACCTTCAGTGTGGAAGTGAGGACACACGGTCACACAGGTCCCCTCACATCCATTAGGTTTATGGGTACCTCTATGATTGAAAGCCTTACCCCCTTTAAATAACAGTGGCTTTCCCTAAAGTTGTGGGTGAACCATGAAGGAAAAGTCACTCAATTGTTTATGAAAATCCATTCCAAACAAGCTTGACCAAGAATTAATGTTTGAAATGGAAGGGGCTGGATTGCCTGAAAAGTTTGCCCTCCTAAAATATATTCAGTAACAGACTCCATCCCAAGGTCTTGGGAAAGCTCTTATGGAAACCATGAGCTTTTGAAAAACTCCTTTTCTGGTGATTTCCACAAAATGAGCTTCACAAGAGATGAAAAAGAATCATAGAATCCCTACAGTGTGAAAACAGGGCCTTCAGCCCAACAAGTCCACACTGACTATAGGAGCAACTCAGCCAGACCTATCCCCCTAATCTACACATCCCTGAGCACTACAGGCAATTTAGCATGGCCAATCCACCTAACCTGCACATCTTTGGACTGTGGGAGGAAACCCACGCAGACATAGGGAGAATGTGCAAACTCCACACAGACAGTGGCCCAAGGGTGGAATCAAACCCAGGACCCTGGCGCTGTGAGGCAGCAGGGCTAACCACTGAGCCACTGTGCTGCTCCAAAGGATTGAACTTCATGGAGAGACCATTGAGACTGTAAGATTCTCAGCAGCTGAGCAAGGGACAGTAAGAAGTGGAAGACTCAGGGTTGTGTAGAGTCGGAGCAGTCTTGAGGAACAGCACTTGAGAAAAGCAAGAAGACTGAGGTAAGCTGATTCTTGGTGAGAGGCTTGATGGCAGCGAAAACCATTTTGAAAAAATGATGATAAAATGAACTGCACACATTTTGAGTGTAAACATTCAGCCAATGGTCAATTGAAAATTAAGATGGCTGTTGTGATGAAGGGAGAGGGGATTGAGAGAAATGTTAACGGTGCCACTGAGTGGCTGGAGGCTGCTACTACATGGAATGTGCTGAATCGCTTCAATAGGATTTTCTAATTCGAAAAGTTTACGTAGGGTTTTACAGCATGAGTTTTGACACAAAGTGTGGCTCAGGATACGACTCAAGGAGCAAGGTTTGTGAACAGGACTTGCATGCTGTAGGTAGGATCATTTTTGAGACAAAATAAAAATTGAAAGAACTACAGATGCTGTGAATCAGGAACAAAAACAAAGTTGCTGGAAAAGCTCAGCAGGTCTGGCAGCATCTGTGAAGGAA